CCGCTCCGCGCCCAGCACCCCGCGCCCCGCACCTGCCGCCGTGCTGACACCCGAGCCGCCCACCCTCCCTCCGAGGCTGCGGCGCTGCTGGGCTGGCTCCGCCCAGGGGCGTGGCCGAGAAAGGTCCCGCCCACAACGGCGCGGGGAAGCAGGGCGGGCCCAGAGTCCTCACGGCCTGCTATTGGCCTATTCAGGCGGCCGCTCCACCAGTCCAGGGCGCTGATTGGCTAAACCAGAGGTGTCCTTTTTTATCTCATCCCTCTGCACCCGCGCGCGCGCCCGCGCGCACATACACACACACACACACACACACACACACACACACACAGACACACAGACACACACAGACACACAGACACACACACACACACACACACAGATACGCGCTCGCGCGCACAGACACAGACGCGCGCGCACACACACACACATACACACCCACACCCACACCCACACACACACACACACACACACACACCACACCACCCGCAGTTTATTTGCATAATTTAAAGAGACAGGCGCCGCTCTCTCGGCCACCTGAACCAATGGGAAGGTGGAAGGGGTAAGCAGAGCTGTGAGGGTGCCCTGTGTGCCGGGCACTGAGCGAGCTTCCCTGGATGCCCCTGTGAGGCTGAGTGAGCGACAGTGCTGATTCTCATTTTACAGACGGGAGCGTGAAGGTCGGAGGGCAAGGACGGGCGCAGCAGACCACACAGCAGCCTGCGGCCCCCAGCCCACCCCACGGGCGCCCCCACACAGGCCGGGCCCGCGGGGTGCCGTGGCTTCGCCTGGGTACCAGGTCGCTGGCGCGTATGCCAGCCCCGCCGGTGTCCAGCCCAATGGGAACGGATCTGCCTGCGATCCTCCAGGCGTGAGGCCTGAGACGCGACCCTCGGGGACACGAGCGCGCGGCCCTGCAGGACGGGGGTACCGCAGACCCCAGGATCCGCCCATCTCTCCGCACTGGCCTGGACGCCTCCTCAGCTGCCTTGGGGGCCTCTTGTTTCCACCCTGTCCGCCAGACAATCCCTGATTCCCATGGCAACCATATATCTAGAGAGAGCAGTTTTATATTTACAGAATTATTATGAAGCTAGAAGGCAGAATGCTTGTACGGCCCACGCCCAGCTTCCCCTATCCGCACCGGTGTAGTTGTCACAGCTGGGGAACCAGGACTGAGACTTATTATTCACCGAAGTCCATACTTTATTCTGATTTCATCTGTTTTTCCTGAGTGTCTTTTTTTTTTTTTTTGAGACAGGGTCTCACTATGTACCCAAGGCTGGTATTGAATTCGCAGCGATCCTCCTGCCTCAGCCTTGAAAGTGGTGGGATGGTAGAGGTGCCACCATGGCCTGGTCCAAACGGCCCGGGAGCCCATAATGATGTCTAGTTCTCACACCTCTTAGGCTCTTCTGGGCTGAAATAGTTTCCCAGACTTCCTTGTTTTTGACAGCCTTCAGTTTTTTGTTTTATTTTGTTTTGCTGTTCGAGCAATGGAACCTGGGACCTTGGACATGCCAGGCAAACACTCTCACTGAGTCACATTCCCAGCCCCTTTATTTTATTATGAGACAGGCTCTTGTTATGCTGTTCAGGCTGCACTTGAACTTGGAATCCTCCTGCCTCAGCCTAATGAGTAGTCAAAATGATAGGCATGTGCCACCATGCCTTGCAACCTTGACAGCTTAGGGGTGCATCGTCTGGGTGTTCTGCTACTGTCCCTCCAGTGCGGTCTGATGCTTTCCTCAAGCTGGGACTAAAGTGGGGGTTTGGTGAAGTACCCTGGTCACTGCAGGGCAGGGGTGCCTGTGTCTACGCCTGATCCTTGGGTGAGTGCATTTGCAAGTTTCTGTCCCCATTCAGTGTGAGCCCCTTTGGGAAGCAGTCACTCTGTAGAGCCCACAGGTGAGGAGTGGGAGGGCTATCTGTCCCTTGGGGCTGAGGTGTGTGAAGACTTTAGATTTTGCTGGGTGTGGTGCACACCTGTAATCCCAGCTTGGGGGGGGGGGCGGGCTGAGGCAGGGGGATCGCTGTGGGCTTGAGGCCACCCTGGGCTACATAGCAAGATTCTGACTCCCCCCCACCCCCGCGTGCTTTGGAGTTCTTCCACCTGGGCACTGTCTCCTCCCCCTTCACCTGTTTATTTAGTCATCTATATCAGTATGGGCGCGTGGATATTTATTTTGCACTTTGGGCTATAATCCAGCTCTACCACATCGATTTTCTTTCTCAGATGGCCTCAGCGCTGGCCACTGAAAACACTTGGAGCTGGCTCCCCTCCCCTCCTTACCTCCTTGGTCTTCACTCTGCCCACTCTCCTCTTCTGGCACTGCAGGCCTCTCTAGTACATCTCCTGCCTGCTCCTAGAACCCACCTTCCCCCAGGAGCAGCCTTAGTGTTACAGACTGAATTATTTATGCAGCCTTAGTGTTATAGATTGATTGACTGATTGATGATTTATTGATGCCTTTATGTACTGGAAATCTAACTCAGGGCCTTCACACTAAGCTATATCTCCAACCCTTTTTTATTTTTATTTTTATTTTATTTATTTATTTATTTTATTTTAAAGAATAAAAGAAGGATAACATAATAATAGGGGGGACTTAGCAAATTACAGACAAAATGGTAGGAAATTATCAATGGTT